GAACAAATAAAATCATAATAAATACTAAGTTAAGCCATCATCACAGGACAAAACCAATGTAGACCCTTACGCACAAGAGGATGGGTTTAATTAGCCACACTCCCTGTTAGTATACAAAGAACAATTTTTCATCATCTTGAAGACCTTAGCTAGGTAGATAGGCTGCATCTCCCCACAAACAGCTGAGACCGATAGTCAGGGACTTCACTGACTGATGTCATATCTTGGTTTGACCCCCCTGAACTCTCATGCAGTTTAATCCAACTTCACCTAGCACATTACATCTTAAGGTATGCGGTGGTTCGCAACGCCACGCATATGTCCAAGCCATCTCAGTCAATGAATGTTCATATCATCATCAGTTGACTCTCCTGTCTACCTGAGTCAGATAATATGTAAATATGTGTGTATGTCTATGAGTGTACACCACAGATTTTGACTATATTTCTAGGATGCAAAAAGAAAAATGCACGAAAAATATCCTGCCAATCCACGTATAATTCACTCAACGAAGTATTGTCTAAGACAAATTTATATTGTACTGAACTCTAAACGATGCATATTAAAGTTATTCCTAATTAAAGTGGATGAAATAAGATAATACTGTAATGGTTGCTACTGATAAGAATGCTTATAGTTAGTATATGTTGAGAGGTCCAAAGAAGTCATAGGCAATTAAGAGCGATGGAAAAATACTCTGGTGACTCCACCACAGCTACTTCTGTACCCCTTAGCTGTCTAGTCACATTTGCCAGCTCATTAACATCCATGGGTTGGTCTGCGTTTACTCGTCGTTATTGCTGTGCAATGGTATTTGGGATACTTTTGCTGAACTATGAAGCCAGCAACTGTGTCTGAAAGTCCTCATCCAGAGTAGAAAGTGCTTGGTGAAGTAGATTTGTCAACCTCAAGCCCAATACCAGCGGGTTTTCAACCAGTCCAAGTTTCAGGTTCCAGAAGTGTCTCATCGCCAGTTCCCTATCTACTAAGCTACTATACTCCGCCTCCAGTCGTTCAACCACCCTCTCTTAATCCTCCTTCTCATCCACGCCTGTCACGCTTCTTCTACTATCTTGTCTTGCCCTTGATACGATCACGTCATCTTTTACGCTTCTCTGAGCGTAATATGTATTCGTCACTCGTAATTGCCTATGACCTCTTCTGACCTCTCAACAAATACTACTTATATGCACTGTTTTCAGTAGAACCCACTACAATACAACCTTAAAGTATTCTTTGTATTGTTGAGCTTTTCATTCCCTTATATTGGGATCATATAGATGTCCTGAAATATTATTAGTCAAAATAACATGTTATCATGGTCTAAGCAGTTAATAATCGCTGCATTCTTACTAGTTATTAAAGCTGTTAACTCTGTATATCTCATCAATAGTATGAAGAAAGAGATAGTCAAAATATCATGTAAGACATTCAAATAACTTTTGACCGTTATCTTTTAGCCTCTTATCTTATTTCTACTAGTATTCTTCTTGTTTTCCCTAAAGAACTTTTGACTGTTGCATTTTTTATATAACTGGGAAAGTTTAAAGACTTTATAATAGAGGCATGCATTCACTTGCTTGCACAATACAATTTATAAAAACCAGTAATGATTGGAAGGACTAGATGAGAACGGCCCTTATTTTTATCGACACACAATGAAGATAAAGAAATGTTTCATATCATTAGAAAGAAAGGTATGTTTATTGTTTGATGGTGATTAACTTATGTATATCCCTTACTGGATAGAGGTTAGCAGCAGAATCCAGGACATGCATTCTTACCCCATTTTGGGACTGTTCAACTGGATGTGTTTGAAAAGGTGGCTCTTGTGCCCCATTGGCTTAGTGGATAAAACTTTGACGTTCGAAGCGATAGGCACTGGGTTCGAGTTCCAGTGAGAACAACACCAGTCACTAAGGTAGAAGTACATCCAACTGACAAGTAAGTCCCAAATTGGACGAAAAGAGCGTCCTAGATTTCACTGCTAGTCAGCTAGCAAACATCAACATAATTAATAAGCAGGTAGTATCGAGACATCCACGTAGGAGCCTCTGTACCAAGAGAGGTCGGGCAATTCAACTCAGTATGACGACGGAAGATTACAAATACCAAACAATAATAGGCGTTAATTTTCAAGATACATATACACAAGTTTTAACCTAAAGTGAGTTCTATTGAATATGTCATTTAGATCACATTGGCTCTGCTAAAAATTGTACAGCGCACAGAAATACTACATTAGAAAGACATGAAGGTTAGGTCTGTTAAGCATCTCTGACTTCTGAACCCTTGAGTTGTTGTGGAGTAAGTGCTTTTTTGAAATCCCTTCGTTGTTTTCTTTTGAGCCCTGTAGAGAAAGCTGATAACTAACAAGTTCTATTCACTGATTTATTTGAAACTAAGTAAAGGATTATTGAAGAACCTCCGTGTAAAATGTCATCGTTTCAACTCTCTGAATAACTAACATCTAAGCTTTTACTTTCCCTCAAATTAGTATCTAAACCTACAGCTTCCTCAATGACTTGGTGTCAAACTGTATGATATATGAATTCAGGTACAAGCAAAACAGAACTGAAAGCGTCTACCATGATAACTTAAGGTATTTATCACACTTATTCGAATGTCACATGTTTAGTGTTATCTGCAGTGAATGACCAAACCATGAAATAAATTTTTTATTTTACATTCCATATTGGCTGTAAGGTCGTCATAGTATTTTCACTCGAAATCAGATACTGTATTTGGGGTGCTCTCAAAAGTAATTGCAATTAGTTTGTAAATAATGCCGAGATGAAGTTGTTAAATTGCTAGAAAATTTCCGAATAAAAATTAGTACCAAGATTTTTCAAAATTTCCAGTTCTCAAATATTAAAGTAACCAGATTTTATTAACTCAATGATGCATATGTGTTTGTTTCACTTATAGTAATATTTCAGTTCGAAGGTTTATAGGGATTTATTGATTGGTTCCTAGTTGGTATTCATCACGAACTGAACACCAACATAAGATAAATAACTAAAGAAATCCCCACAAACCTCCAAATTGAGTGACTTTCTAGTGCTGATTAGTGACTTACTTTAAGATGAGATTCCTAAAGCCATGATGAGAAGTCGCGACCGATCAAGCAAACCAAGGCAGACGTGAGAAAAAATACTCAACAATGGCAGTGGGTGGAGGTCATGCTATATCGTGGACTGAAAGAAGTAGGAAAATATGGACCATATGCGAAGTGTATTGTAGAGCAAGGTACACTCGATGACAGGCCAACTGGATTCTGATTCAGCGCCTCAATGGCAGGTTACAAAGACTGGAGGTCCTGGATTCGGTCCCTCCTGGGTCTTGAGTGCACATTTTCGAAGAGTTCGACATTATAACAAAATAGCTTTCCACTGATTCCAGGTCTTCAAGGATTCTTCAACTGATTTCAATCCGTGACGATTACCAACTTGAAATAAAGCAGTAGTTCACGTGACATAGTGACTTAGTTCCTCAATTTTAATATGAATATTTGTACAAACAACCACAATGCCTCTAGATATCTTATATCAGTGTATATAAGGTGATAAACGGAAATTAGTACAGCAATCTTATTTTGACGAAATTTTCTTTCCTTCAAATTTATTTATAGCCTAGTAAGCTTGAGCTGCGATCTGTACTTTCAGTCTTAAAGCTTTGAAATCAACAGTAAGTGGTAAATATAGTTGCATATCACTGACTTATTCATAGTCACCTATTTTCCTTACGCAGTTCAGTCCAGCCAACACAGTTACACATATGCCTGTAATTTTCTATGACAACACATGCATTTCACCAACAAGTATAATTTTGACAGAAATTTTCGAATAAAACCACACCATTTCATTAAAGGTAATTTTTAAAACAATAAAAAGAGATCAAAAATCATATAACAATCATATTTATGTGTCGTACCTAAACAAACTTGGTGAATGCTCAAAAATGAAATATTCAACAAGTACATGACAAAGCTCTAACGCAGCACTTTTAAAACCCAATTTCAGTGTGCTCACCGAATAAATGAATACGTTTACCACTAAAATTAATCACTGCATGAACTTTTCATTGCTAATAATATTACAATATTGTTAGTGAGCAAATTTGGTACAACACTGAAAGTGATGTGTGCCATATAAAACAATAATGCAAAGTTAATAATATACAAGAGTTGAAAGAGACAATGGAAACAAAGATAGAAGAGGGGTACCAGAGAACCAGCCCCAAATAAACATCATAAATAATGCATTTACTAGTAAGTTTGAGTCATATGTATTATTTCGTGCTCTTAAACTTTCTGACGGACTGAGTCAAAGAAACATGGTTATAACACCACTTAAGAACCGTTGAACGTAAAATGACAGCGCTTTATCTTGCCAAGCTATCATCAATTAAATTTGAATTGCTAATCTTTCAATATCCATTTCAAGACTGACTGTAATCTTTTGATGCACTTATCAGCTACCTTTAAGTTTTAGGAGGAAAATCATTATGAATTGCTTGTACTGAAAGTTAGTTATAATCCGTCTGGTGGATGATGGCTGAAATACAAGTTTATCCCTATTCATTACTTACAAGTGAAAATATTTCTGTGTAATTACTTAGCTACTACTTTTTATCTTGCAAATACTGAACAACCAGTTTTGAACGACGGCTATAAGATATGTTAATACATTGGCCAGAAATTACTGTTTTGAATTATGATAAACTTTTGCTGACAACCTTGTGTTCAACTGACAGAGTGATTCGCAAGGTTTCTGGAGATAACAACCTATTTAACTATCCTTCATAAAAATTAATTTGAAAGTGAAAGACTGCAAAGAATCCACATATTATGGCACTTCCGGCTTATGGGTAATTTTCAGTTTTAATCAATTCCCACGTCTCATAGATATAAAATGTCGATTTATCAGAGCCGAAATTATAGTGGTGAAAATTTTCAAAGGCAAAAAGTATGAATCTGTGATAGTCAAATACACACTTACCCTAATCGAAATTCCTGCATTTGAAAACTCATATCAACGGAGATTCTAATAGGAAATTCATGATTTAGACGAATACTAGGAATCCCGATACGAATAAGTGATGAATTTGATACTCCATAATTAATATAACTCCAATCAAAGTCCGGCTTTTGAATTGCCGTAACAGGAGGTAGTACTTGTGATTGATGAATTAAAGAATGCGTTATATCCGATCGTTCTAAATAATGAATATAGTGTCCCGTCTGGTTCACCTGGTAAGCCGTTGCATTATACTTTACCAACAAAGTCAGTGTATCACTAACATGTGGATGGAATTGCATTTTAATGAAGTCCAAATCAAGCTTGGCGGCGCATTCTGATTCATTAACAGTGCGAATAGCGCAAGAAGAATTACTAAAACATGTGTATCAAACGACTGTACATATACACGGAATGAACACAATATGAATGTGTTCTGATGTGCGACGAGATAGTTATTTTCTAGTGAGCAAAGCGCATACAATGGAGAACTGTGTGATTTGTATACAAAAACAATGTGGGAATTTAGGAAGACATTAATGCTTGCCATTTTATAAAAGTGCGTAGAATTGTATGATCCAAGACGGGCAGTAATAGACCCCTCCATAACAGGTTGTATAAGAAGGAAAGACTTTTCAGAGGTGTCATTTACATTAAAGATTTCAAAGGCTAATTCACTAGGTTCAGTGTAGATATCTGGAGCGATTCCTGTCAACAAAATAAAAAATATAAATGAAAGAATACCTTCGAACCCTTCTATTAAAACTGCAAAAATCAGCAAACTATGTAGCAGCAGATTCTTCGTATTCAAAACAGTACACATCACATCACATAAACCCAAAGCCCATTTCAATTACCACACAACCTTGAAAATTAAAATTTAAGGTCAGTGGTGTGAAAAAAGGTTTTACAACATCCAATATCTAAAATGTGTTTTCTGAGTGATTATAAACAAGATAGTTTCCCGTTTAAGTCAAACTGAACAGTTTTAGTTATTTATTAAATTATGATTCAAATATTCTAACCAGTTAACAGATGTAGCTCTGACAAACCTGTTTGACAACTTCATGGGATTTCAAATAGTTTCCAGAGCTTCCCGGTAGAAAAGAAGAAGCTTCCACTTCACTAACGTCTGCATCCGGTGAATCACTAGTTTTTCCATCCGCCAGCTTGGCATGAGAAGAAAGAATTAGTATCTATTGACGTTTTGCCATTTCTGTTTTTGTAAGGATCTGCTATTATGTAGTAAGAGTTATTCAACAAGTGGTGCTGGAAATAAGGCGGGGATGAAAGGCGCTTACAGAAAAGTAAGTGTCACTGGTGGCAACTTGCGAAAGAGACGTTTTTTATTCTGGGTACCAGGGTTGAAGAATACGGGAAGTTATAAGCACACCTTCAGTGGCTACTGGAGTATATCTGTGGTAAGCTGTTTGGGCTCACTCACTTCTCCAACAGTCAGTTGAAGGAGCCAGCTTATGTAGCTTTGGCTACTTTCCCGTCGCAGAGTTTCATGGGGCACATATCCTGTGCCAGAAGAAGTTAAACTTAACTATCGTCTTTGTCCCACGGTGGGTTGTGCGAGTGAGGTTCCCATAAGACTGCCGGTTTTTGACGGCTAACATTGGCCCGCTGGAATGGTCCATTGAAGAACGATTTTACGAACTATTATTAGGTCGCACTATTTCTTTCGATGACCTGTTGTTGACAAGTCGAGTTGTGCGAAGCGTCGCGCGTTCATCTGCCAGTCTATCCTACAGCCAACACTGTCGCCCTTCTCCGTACGCCTCTCTTTATTAGAGGGGAGGCCAATGTGCTGAATAACTTTAGATGCAGTGCAGTACAGGTTTTAAATGCCATGGGGAATAGTTCCGAAATTAGCGCTCCAACCTGCCCCTTTAGAACGTGCATGACTGCATTCGCACTTGCTGACGTTCCCTTCAGAGTGGCACCGGTATCCCATGTCACAGAAGTGTACTCCTTCCCTATGCATGCACCAATGAATGTGCACCTTCTGACAGTGAAGCTGGTTTTCATCACAGCATGAGGTCGTCTAAGGGTCCCCTACCCTACCTGTTATCCTCTATATCTCGATGTGACCTGCAAAAGTAGTATAGACGAGGAGGTTTGAGCAGAGAGGCTATTGCTGAATAGTGAAAACAGGAGTGGCCCTGGCATCACTCCTTGAGAAACTGCTGTTCTTGTACTCCCTCAGGATGATTTAGGTCTGTCTGCTTGCGTACCTATTCCTCTGCCCCGCAGATATACCGTAAACCGTTCTATGAATGGTTCAGCGACACCTATCGCTGCAAGGTTAGCAAGCACGGAATAGTGTGGGACGCTATTTTTGTACAATATAAGCTACGTGTGAACAAACCACCTTGTAGGCATGATCACCTTGGTAATATGAATTCACTATTATGCACAATAACGCGCAATACATTTGACATCGTTGTTTAAGGCACGTCAGAGATGAGTTTAAGTGATGATAATGTGGACTGGTTACTTGTTCTCCTGCCTAGTGATTTGGCCATCCCAAGTGGTTTTCATCTTTGTGGCACATGACCGTCTGGTTTTGAAGCCACATCGGGTGGTTTGAATGATACTGTTTACATTTAGTTAGACTCAGACAACAACCGCAACCAGGTTTTCCAGTTCTTTGAATAGTATGGGAAGTAACGCTGTTGGTCTGTAATTAGACAGGTTTTTTCGGTCTACTACCTTAAAGTTTGGGAAGGGGAGGTCATGCATCCATTCTTTAGGCAGCTGGATTACCTCCAAAGAGCGCACGGACGGAATGCGCTTGGATACGCTTAACGCTTTGGCGGAATGCCGTAGGACAGACGGTCTTGCGTCATCACAGCCGGAGACTTCTCTATTCTGAGCGCTAAAATTTTCGAAAACACTTGGTCAAACGAGGTCGTTACACTCACCAGTTTTGTATTGCAGTCCTGGGACTTCGTTACGTTACTGGCTGTTAGTGATGGACATATCACTGCGTTGAGCCGCTCGTCAAATCGGCCGCTCAACAGTTTCTCATGTCTCACCGCCATTCAGGGGTTCTCCGGTCGGTCTTGTGACCATAATGAAAACTTTGTCCGTCGGTTTCCGCTGCCATATGAGCCGACTTGGGCTTTTCGAGTCGTAGCTCGTCCGCTTGATGAAGTCACCCCGGTAATTCCGTCTATCACCACGAAGACCAGTTTTACATGGATTGCGCGACGGCTTGTAGGTATAACAGTTTGACTGCTCATGTGACGTGTGCTAATTATACCACGTCTCCTCTTTCTTCTTTATTTGACTTTGGGTATCCGAAAACCACTTGAGAGGTGGCCGTCTCATTAGTTTTGGAACACTCTTTCCCATAGCTCTCCAGGAAATGTATTAATTATATATCTGGTTTTCATTTGTCAATAGTGGCACCAGGGGCTCAATATTTATAAGCCGGTAGTCTGCCTTCCGGTAACGGCGGGATGTTTTTGGCACGACTACTGGTTTGTTTTCCCCTGGTTATCAACTCCACCAAGGCATGGCTGCTTTTGCCCATGAGGGTTGGAAGCAGATGTCACACATCGAATGGTCATCGTCTGCCGCCGTCCGATTCTAGACTACTGCTCATTTGTCATAAGCAGCTTTCAAGTGGGCGACGAACTAAAAATCGAAGGGGTACAACGCCACTTTACATTAAGAACACTGGGAGCTGACTGCAACCTTGACTACATCTCCAGATGCAACATGCTAGGACCAGAACCTCTCTGGAAGAGGCGACTTAGAATAAGTCTTTTGCTTTATTATAAACTGCTTTGTAAGCAAATGCACTTATGCGGTCCAGGTATTAAAATAGTTGTATCATCTATTTACGATATACGTATTCGCAAACAGTTAGCTAAAACTGAGTGTTGTAAGACCAGTGTGCGAGGCAGTTTCTTCCCCAATCAGTTCTCCTACACCTGGAATACACTTCTTGAGGAAATAGTTACGGGAGGGTGATAATCTGTCTTTCGTTCCTCACTTAATAAGCTCTTCACAGATGATGAGTCTGCCACTCGTTTGGTCACTATATATACTTTCTGGACTAATGAAAACATACTGGGACCCCTAAGCGTGTAAAGCAAGGCTACAAACAATGCCGTGTGTTTTTTCTTTTAGTGGGCCCTAACATTATTTCAGGGGGCGTTTGACTGCTATTCCATTAGCTTAGTTTGTGTAGTCAGTAAAGTGTATATCACCTTGATGTAGAGTCAGTTTAGCCCGTGTGTCTGCGAATAAACTTGGTATATCCAAAAACTTGTACGTATTTTACGAAGGAAAATCATAAGAGTCACTTTTATATGCATAAATTAAAGTGTACATATAGCTCGTGCTTTTCAAGGACAGGAACTCCTCTCTTCCCAATTTCGCCCCATGTGGTATACCATTCTCTGGTTCCTGCTTGTGCCTCCCCTTCCTCCTTGTCTTTTCAGCTGAAGTTTGAAGAGAAAACCGTGAGCATAGTTTTGACCAAAACTGTCAACCTACTGGATATACTACTTCATATTTGATACCAGAAATTATTGGAAGGATCCTTCATCTGGCCTTCCCCTACTGATTTTCAACTTTCTAAACGTTCCACAGCAAACTGGCCTAGTCACCAACAGCCTAGATGCAACCATGTACGAAAACCTAACTACAATAAATGATCTAAGGCTTCCATACGGCCATAATGGTAGCAAAAATCTGGGCAAACAACTAAATCTAAGAAATCAACTCACCTAGTGACTCAAAGTGAGACATGTTCTCAAACAAACGTCCTCAGTACTTCACACCATTTAACTTCGTTTTATGGAAGACAATTAACAGTCAACATACATCCTTGATAATGCTGTATACTTCAATGTGAATTCTATTTGCAAAACTCCATCACCATTGGATAATGGTCCTTCAGATGTTTATTTCTTTGTACAGTAACAACCAAATCTGGTGGATTACGTCCTTACTGCTGAGCAAGGTCACACCACGAGTGGTAAATGCGAAGACTTATATACTCACGTGGGTTATGTGGCTTTACGATTTGTCCTGGTGCTAACGTGACAGACGCAAAGACCAATCACTAATTATTCGGACCCGCTATGTACCCACGAATACGAGACCAAGGAAGAACACGATAGCGTAGTCGGATGGAATAGTATATTTGGATGGTTGTGCCAAGATACCGATGCGTTCCAACTAACTGGCTAGAGAGTCGAATACGAGCAGTGCAACGTAACACAACAGCGTGCCAAATGGCGAGGATGCTTGACTGAGTGCTTTCAGTTTAGCGAGTCTA